AGGATCCCCAAATGCAGGTGTGAAAAACTTGTTGCATCATTCCCAAAAAGACTCATGGCTGTATTAGCTCAAAAGGGTGCTTCTACTAAATACTGAGCAAAGGGTCTGAATACTTATGACCATGTGATATTTCAGTTTTTCTTTTTTAATAAATCTGCAAAAATGTCAAATTCTGTGTTTTTCTGTCAATATGGGGTGCTGTGTGTACATTAATGAGGAAAAAAATGAACTTAAATGATTTTAGCATATGGCTGCAATATAACAAAGAGTGAAAAATTTAAGGGGGTCTGAATACTTTCCGTACCCACTGTAAGCAAGGGAAATAAATGTATTAAAATAACCAAAGCTCAGTAGTTCTGGACAATTATCGATATAGCTGTAATATGTATAGAAAAGGAAAATAAAGTTATGAAAGGTAACTAAAGTTATGAGACGTAACTAAAGCTTATAAAGTAACTAGAGTCTATAAGACTCAAAAATTACACAATGAACATTCCTTTGTTGTCTGCATTGTTTACTGTCTGTTTATACTGCATTTATTATTCTTATTCTATTACACAGCCTTATGCTGGTTTACTGTTTGGCACATTGAGAGCCGATGTACCAGAGTCTAATTCCTCGTGTGTCCGTCACACCTGGCCAATAAAGCTGATTCTGATTCTGACAGTGAACTGAACATCTTTGGGATTTGAACCACTGGCCTGAGAAAACAATACATCTAATGGTGTCAGCTTCTCCAGCTTATACCAGTTTCAATTAAGTTTAGCCATGTTTCTATAATGAAATTAACATTCAGATTTACACATACATCATAATAAATTGGCTCAAAATAATGTATTTTTGAAGAATGTTATTTTCGGTTGTGTAATGCTCATTAGTCAACAGCGTTAGATGTCAATATTCTTAATTTTCTACCACTAAATACATTTCAGGCTATCCTGAAGGCCATGTAGAGCTTTACTCCGAGATAACGTTAGCAGCTGTTAGGTATTTTTAATCAGATAGATATTGGTTAGATACTTTATGTATTAGAAATGTTTAGTGGAGATAGGATGTCTAGTTAGACTGTTAAAT